TTCGGAGAACTGATGAAGCTCAACAAAAATAAACTACCCCATCAAAAAATGGGCAGAAGAGCTAAAAAGACACTTCTCTAAAGAGGTAATGCAGATGGCCAACAAGCATAGGAAAAAATGTCCAATATCACTTGTAATAAGGGAGATGTAAATTATAACACAATGAGATACCACCTCACCCCAGTGAGAATGGCACATCTTCAAACAGGTAGCAACAACAAATGTTGGTGAGGATGTGGAGAAAAGGGAACTCTCCTGCACTGCTGGTGGGAATGCAAACTAGTACAACCACTGTGGAAAGCTGTTCGGAGGTTCCTCAAACTGCTAAACATGGAGCTTCCCTATGACCCAGCAATCCCACTCCTAGGTATCTACCCCAAAGACTCAAAAACACTGATTCAAAAAGATAGCTGTACCCCCATGTTTATTGCTGCTTTATTTACAATTGGAAAAACATGGAAGCAGCCCAAATGCCCAAAAGTAGATGACTAGATTAAAAAGATGTGGTACTTATATACAATGGAACCAAAATCTTTTGCAGCAACTTGGATGGAGCTGGAGAAGATCATGCTTAGTGAGGTAAGTCAGAAGGAAAAAGAAAAGTACCAGATGGTTTCACTCATCGCAGGACTATAATGAACCAGGTGAAAAAATCATAAGGATAATGAACAGCCATATACCAGAGACATTTTGTGGGGTGGAGTGGGGGATGGGATCAAACAGGATTATGGTGATGGCACATGGGTGACTTGGTGATGGGAAACCCACGGGGATGACAGTTGAGGTGAAGAAAAATGTACAAAATGATGTAAAAATAAACTATTATAAAACAAAAATATATCCTTTGCTCATCCGAGGTCAATAACGTTTGCAACATTGACTGGATATCTGCCCCATTAGGACGGTGAGAGAAAGATAGAGACAAGCAAGTTCATTATCCTCTTAGGGTCCTGCTTATAAGAAGGAACAGAGCCCCTCCAATTTAAGAGGGCTGCTGAAAGGATTGTGTGATCACAGTACCCAGCAGGCGGTCCTTATGCATTTAAACCACCCACTGCCATCAAGGCGATTGTTTCCAAAAAGGATGCCCCATCTAGTATGGGAAGGAGTGACACAAGCTATGCGACGGGGCTATCGTCTGACAGATTCCGGGTAGCTCGGGAAAAGCTCTGAAAGATCAGACTTTCCATGCTAACTTGTGTTATGACCTCTCTTTTTTTGTATAATCGTAATATCAAAATATTCTGAGCAACTTTCGGCCTACAATTGGATTGCCTCAGCTGCATAAGGCCTGCCTGCCCTGACAAGC